ATAATAATTTGTCTGCAGTAACAGCTCACTGAACATAACATAAGAACCAAAAAGAGGGCTGAATTTATTCGGTGTCTTTATGTGTCTTGTCTTCATTCCTGAGTGAACAGACTTCTCTTCTAGATGTGTAGGTGATTGTTAAAGACTTCAGGTTAATAACCCATCCCTTAGTATGGCTGTCGAGTCACGTGAGGGCTGCAGACCGCAACAATATAGGTGAGTCCCTCAGTTTAGGGCCCTGTTGCCTTAAGTAAGGTGCTGTTGGACGGTTCCCAGAGGTAGGTTTCAGTTGGGAGAAGATAAATCTCAATCAAAATAGGTTTTCATATTTGAAAGATGTTTGTTTAAATTCAGACTTGTTTTTTAGGAAGCTGGAGGCTGGAAATGGATTGAGGGGCTCGGGCTTGGTAAAACGTTTTTTTGGGAGGCTATCTTCTGAAAAGCTACCAGGAAAAATCAGTGTGTTATTGGCTTGTACTATTCTGCTTCCATATTTATGTCTTTTAGGGCAACTGAAGCTCAAATCCATTTGGATTTGTTTAAATCTAATCTATGTCTTGCAGGAGGTCATATGAAGGTTATAGAACCAAATGGGGATGAGTTAGGCATGAGAGGTGGGAAGTGATATAGCACATCGTAGCTGTAAGTGAAAGTATTTTCATGGCCTGTAGAAGTTTAGGTCCTTGGATTTTTGGGTCAAGGCAAACATGGGAAAGAGAGGACTAGTTTTAATGGCTTGTTCTGACTTTGTGCAGAGATTTTTACTCTGGGCACTAGAACAAGGGTTTTCTGACACTGAACTGCTCTTATTTTGGGTACCTGATACACACGCAAGGACAAATGTTCAGGCACTAGAGATGTACACAAAGACTATAGAATCCACATGTGCTTGTTTATTCAACAAGTATTTACAAAATGACTGATGGTGGTGTAGAATCTGGGGCTCACAACGCATGGGGAGGGTGAAGTTGGTTTGAACTATAAATGCCATATGTTTTAAAGAGTTTAGATACTAATTAAGGTGATAAAACACACACACAGGAGAAAGGAATAATTTAGGACAGTCACATGCTTGCCTATCACAAGGCCTTATGTGATTAAGGTGAAACCGAAGCTGTTTTAAGACTAGTCCTACTACTTTTCCTTTTTGACTTTCTGGGAACCTTTAATACCCTTTCTCACTCTCTGCTTTCAGCCTCTTTGTCTTAACTAGATCTTCTCATTGCCTTGACACATGCTCAGGGTTTTTCTGTGTACAAACTACATGAAGAAACCCTCTTTCAGTCCTTTTTCTTCTTCCAGTTGCTATTCTCTTTCCTCCCCTTTATACTCACGTGTACCTAGGATTGTCCTCATTCAGTGTTCATTTTAATGATTTTCTCTTATTTCTTAAGCAACTCCAAACTGAATTCTGTCTCAGTCCACAAAAGCAGTTCTCGTTGAGTTCCTCAATGACCTTCATATTGGGCATTTATTAGTACTTATATCACTTGACCTTTCTGTGACATTTAAGGTTTTTGTTTTACTTCTCTGGCAGCTATTCTCTCTCCTATGTGGTATCCTTCTCAACACAACTGTTAAATGTTGAACTTCCTCAAGGATCCATCCTAGGCCTGCTTCTCTTCCTACTTTGTTCTGTCTCCCTGGACTGTCTCATCCATATTCACAACTGCAGTTACTTCCTACTTAGAGATAACTTACCTATCCAAAACCTCCTCTCTGAGCTACAGATGCATATATCTAACTGCCTACTTGGACATTTCTTTTAGAAATTTCTAAGGTACGTCAAATTACATATATCCACAATCAAACTAATGATCTTTGATTCCAGATGTGGACCCTTATACACCATTCATTCTAATGGCCTTGCTTAACCTTGACTCAGAAAGAGAAACTGTCATAAAGATTATAATTTTCAAACATGTTTTAAAAATCTCATTTCATAATCGATATCTAACTTTAACATACTATGACCAGAGAGTTTTGTTGGCTATCTGGTTTTTTTTTTTTTTTTATATTTGTCGAGACTACCTCTGTGGCCTAATATGTGGTCAATTTTTGCTTATGTTCCATGAATACTTGTAAAGAATGCTGTGGCAGATTGCATTTTCCAAAGGTAGTTGCACCAACACATTTATTCATTCTCACGTGCTCTTCTTGCAGTGTGACCGACACTCTTCCCACTGAGGTGGAGTCTTTGTTCTCTTCCCTTGAATCTAGGTGGGGGTTTGTGACTGTCCTGCCCAGTAGAGTGCTGTATAAATGGTGTTAATGTGACTTCCAAACCTAAGTCATAAAGAATACAGCTTTTGCCTGGCTCTCTCTCTGGGAAAATCTTGCCTTTGGAAACCAGCCATCATGTTGTGATGAGATTCAAGCAACATGGAGAGCCCACATGTAGGTATTTCAGCAGATAGCCTCAGCTAAGATCTCTACTGACGCTCAGTGACAACTGGCAGACATTCGAGGGAATAAACCTTCAGATGATTCCAGCTCCCAACTTTCATGTCTTCTTGCCAAGGCCTGGGGCATTGTAGCGTACAAGAAAGCTGGCTCATTGTACCCTGTCAGAATTCCTGTTCTGTAGAAACCATAAGGGATAATGGCTTATTTTGAAGTCGTTAATTCTTGAGTATTTAGTTATATAGCAATAGACAGCCAATGCAAATACTTATTATATTATTGCTAACTTATATTTTGCCTAATATTAACTTATTTCTATCAGATTTCTTTTGGTTCCTATTTGCTTGGAGTATAGTTTTCTGTCTTTTCCTTTCCAAATCTCTTTATGTTTTAGATGTTTCCTTATAAACATCACATAGCAAGTTTTAAAAAATCCATTTCTTCATGTCTTTCATTCTAGAAAATTTAGATTCATTATCTTTTCATATTGATCTTCTCTCTTTTTTTATATGTATGTATATATAATAGACATTTAAAATTATCACTATATTTTGTTTAGCATTTCTATGTGTTTGAAGTGGAAAGGGATCTACAGCTCGATCTCTATGTTGTCAAACCGTAAAATTTTCAGATTTTACAAAATATAATATTATACTATTTAATCTTCCCCAATTTATGTTTTCCTCAACTCTATTACAATTCACATAAAACAGTAGGAAGGGGAAATTTCTGATGATGTCCCATGGAGGGGCCTTATATCCTGCATCAGTATTCCAAGATTTACATTACGGCCCAGAAGTCTGGCCTCACTTTTGGTGGTCATCCATCAGTGGTAATGGATTCTTTGGTGGGATGGGGGATGTGGAAAGAAATAGCTCAGTAAGGGCTAAAGCAGTTACTTAGGATATTGAAGGGGGAAATACAAAAGACCCATGGGAAAACCATGGGGTAGTTGGTAATTCCCAACTATTATACCTTTAGGAAATGTTAAGACCTAGCCAAAATTAGGCATATTCCAATTATTTTTGACTATAGAGTCACCTATATGAGTAATGTTGGACTGCTATAGAATCAGCCCTTTGAAACCTTAAGTTATTACTATCATTTACCACATCTCCTATTATATTGACTTGTGAGTGGTCAGTGCATAGTATGTTTTGGTCATAGGGAGCTTAACTTAACATGTCAAGATTTGATTTGAAATGTCAAGTGTGGCTTCCTCTATTTTGAGAGTTTCTCTCTACTCAGAGAAGGCTACGTTCTACCTTAAAGGGGGGTTGTACCTGTAAGCTTGCATATGTGTACAGTACTTCCCCCTTATCCAGGGTTTCTCTTTCTGTGGTTTTAATAACATGAGATCAGCAGTGGTCTGAAAATATTAAATGGAAAACTCCATAAATGAACAATTTGTAAGTTTAAAATTGTACACCATTCTGAGTAGTGTGATGACATATTTTGCCATCTCGCCTGGGACATAAATCAGTCCTTTGTCCAGCGTCTCCATGTTGTAGACATTCCCTGCCCATTAGTCACTTAGTAGCCATATAGGTTATTGGATCATCTGTCACGTTATCCCAGTGCTTGTATTCAAGTCACCTTTATTTTAGTTAATAATGGCCTCAAAGTGCAATAGTAGTGATGCTGGCCATTCAGATATGCCAAACAAGCCATAAAATGCTTCCTTTAAGTCACGTTTGTGACTTAAGGAAAGGAAAAAAATCATTTACTAGGTTGCTAAGATCTACAGTAAGAACGAATCTCCTATCTGTGAAATTCTGAAGAAGGAAAAAGAAATTTGTGCTTATTTTCTGAGGGGGAGAGAGAGCGAGTGAGCGAGCGAGCACGCGCGCGTGTGCATGAGTGAGCATGCGCGTGAAAGCATACATTCACATAGCTTTTATTACAGTATATTGTTGTTATTGTTCTATTTTGTTAGTTATTGTTGTTAATCTCTTACTGTGTCTAATTTATAAATTAAACTTTAACAAAGTATTCATGTATAGGGAAAAACATAGTACATACAGGGTTCAGTACTATATGCAGTTTCAGGCATTCATTGGGGTCTTGGAATGTGTGCCCCATGAATAAGGATAAAGGGGGACTACTGTACTCATGGGGAAAATGGTGAGGCCTGGATTGAGAGGACCATGTACCTCATATAAATGAAATAGGCTCCCCCAAGTAAAACTTTTTTAGGGAAATGGAAATAAGAGTGTGTAAGGAAGGTGACACTAAAAGAAATAAGAAAATAAAATGCTTGGTCAGATTGAGTGTGCTACAGAATGTTTAATTTGATTTTGTCTCTGCACTTTATAAGCCATTCTCATTCTGTTGAGTTCACACCCCAAAATATTTGACTGTAGTTCTGGCCACGTTTGTATGTTTCAGTTCTACGTAGATGTGTGCATTTTCAGTTTATGACTGTGTCTTTTATTGGCCTCTTGTGCGGGAGGCACAAGGCAAAAGTTTTATCAATGGTTTATTTGGCTAGCACCACATACCATGGCGTATGGAAATTCTACTTAAAGACATGGAGAGAAAACGTTTGGTGTTTTACTCGCAGATAACTCAGTGCTTTCGTTTTTATCTCTTTGTAGCTTTGAAGCTCAGCAAAGAAGGGAATCTATTGAGAATAGTCTGTAAAGGTAAGTGTATTTATTACATGGCCTTGACAAATATTGCCTTTACAATATTGATTTTTCCTTTATTCAGAGATTTAAAGACATGGATTAAAGATATAGCTGACAGGACAACTTACTTAACCACTTGTCCTCCCGCATAGGCAAAAGTGCTGAGCAATAGTTAGCAGAGAGCAGGAGGAAATAAAATGATGTGCTGAGGGTACCCAAATTCAATTGTGTGCTTGCTGACTTTTGCTTTCTTCTCAGCAGTTAAGACGTTCTGATGGAGCTAAGTTTACGAAGATTAATGCTAGCTGAAAAAAGCATGCACTGGTACTACTTCTGGTCAATAGTTAAATAAAACCAGCTGGCCAGATAAAGCATTTAAAATAAAATGCAGAGTGGCATTTCAATTGGCTTGGATGAAATTTATCACGAAAGTCAGTTGTGCAGTTGCATGGAGTTGCTAGTTTTGTAGAAAGGAGAAAGCCAGCTAGTTTGGTGTAGCTAATTTCATTCCAGCCAGTCACTGTGGGCCCTAAGTGAGTTACAGGAAATGAACTTCCAAGTTTGAAGCAATGGGAAAAGTACCTGCTCAGCCTCCTGTGAAACATTACAATTGTGTTGGTTTTTACGTGGAAAAATGCAATTGTTTCCTCTTTGCTAGGTATATTTATACACATACTGCTATACAGCACTGTTCTTTGATTCATTGTTTAATTTCTGTTCTGCATGAAGTATTTTAATTTAAGGAATTCATTCTGGGGAATTATAGGGCTGCAGTTTCATCGAGAGTCTTTGGTGGCCAGGGTGAAATATGCCATAATTTATATTTGTTTTCATCATCAATTATATTTTTGACAATTTTAGGGTTTTTTCTTTTTTCTGTTATTTTTATTATAGCAATCATGACTCTGACCACTTTGGTTAAAGTTGGAAAGCCATTTTGATTTACCTTTTATTTTAAGTTATTCTTAACTTTATGACAGATATATTTCTGGGGCTGAATTTTTAATGTTTATTTTGAGGATGAAAAAGGATTTTACAGGGAAATTGGAGAAAACTCCTTTTGAATATAGAAAACATGAGCTGTAAAAACACCGTTTCGAGAATTTGCTTTGGGATGACTCAATTCTGCTGCATGAAAGCTAGTTTGCTTGTAATTTTTCTGTAATGGTTAGCCCCTAGTGAAGAAAAAACTATCTTATTAAATAGATAGTTCTTATTTTCAACTATAACCTACATATCTCTTGACCATTGAGCCACATCTTGGAATACAGCAGTATTTGAAAGCTTTCAGAAAAGAAATTCTCATAAATTATTGGAATTAGCAATGATGTAGCAATCTTCAGAATCCTGAGTCATAGTGCTCACTTACTTCTTGGGGAGTTTTTTCACACAGGTACAGTCTGTTTCCTATACTCTCAATAACAATCCTTTGTTAAATTGGTATTCTAGAGACAGACATGGATTTAGTCCTCGTTTGGCTTTTGGACCATGGACAAGTTATTTACGCCCTCTCTGTTTCATTTTCCTAATTTGTGAAATGGGGTAATAATATTGTTTTCTTAATAAGTTTGTTGTGGAGATTAAATGAATTATTATGTATCAAGGGCTTAGAGCAGGTCCTGGACCATGGTAAGTACTCAGTGGATATTAGCTGGTGCTACTCTTGTTAATATAACTGTTATTATCATCATCATCAACATTAGCATCCTTATGAATGTATTCATTAGTGATTTTGAGAAGTCTGTTTTTTTTTTGGAAGCTTCAGGATAATGTTTCCAAAATATGGATGTTGTTGCTAAAGTAGCACAAATTCTGCTTTGTCTTTAGGCATCAATGAAAGGATATGTTTCAGGTAATATGAGAAGTGAGGTCTCTGGAAGTAAAAAGTTGTCAGATTGAAGTTTTATAGGCATCAGGGTAAACACGTTCTTTGGCTGTGTGCAGGCAATTACTAATTAATACAGTCTAATTAGCTAGCTAAATTCTTAAGGAATTATTGAAGAAAGCCTTGGTAAGTACAGAGGAACTTCTCCCCCAGTCTTTTTTTTCCTTTCCTAACAGCATCTTTATTTCCCTTTGAGATTATTAGACTAGTGGAGCTGTAACCGGGGGCGCTATTAAGGGGCCTACATTCAGCCTAGGGATGGGTACATGACACACAGGCTTGGTTAAGTGGGTGCTCCTTCTTTGGAATTTGAATCCTGAGCTAAGGGATTCTCCTTTCTCCCAGTGGGCATTCTGCCTGACAGTACCAGCTATGAGATCACTGTAGCAGTTTCCATTTCCTTGCCTTTATGTTTGCCTTGGCCACTGATGGTCTCAAAGTTTTATTTCCAATCTGGCATGGATTCACTGAGCCTCCAATAGCCTTCCAATAATCGTTCTTAAATTAGCCAATTGGTTTCTATTGCTGTAGCCCCAGAACCCTAACTGACAGAGTAGTTTACACATTACAGAGCTAGATTTGGAATAAATAAAAGGGGAATGTTTGAAGGTTTACAGTTAAAATAACATTCATTACTTTCTTCCATCGTGTGTAAGTAGCTGAACATTTTCCAGTAGATTTTAAAAGGTGCAGAATTCTCAATTAGTATTTCAAAAATGGGCTATTTTGCTGGAATCTCCACAACTCTTGTATTTGGTAAAAATAAGTCACTTTTGGCTGCTTTTGTAAGCTCTCAGGATGTGTGTGTGTGGGGGGCGGTAGAGTTGGAAATGACAAGAGAAGCAGAGAGCTCATTCTTTCCAATTTCTGGGGCCCTGGTCTCTTTGTGGCGAGAGGATTATGAAGGTATTGTGATTTCCTTCTACTTACCCCAGCATCTTAAAACAAAACTCTTTAAATATTTTCCTACTTTTCCCTTAATTCTTTTGAACACTTTTCTTGTGCTACTGAACACCGTCTTTTCAGTGATGTGTAAAATGTGATTGAAAACTCAATTACTTCAGTCTCTGGCATTGCTGGTGGTTTCCTGAGAACAGAATCGGCAAGTTTGTTCTATTTCCCTTTGTGTCTTATTTGTTGACTACTTCTGTGTTCTGTGCACTGTGCAGTGCCTGGGACAGAGCTAATTAATGATTTTTTTTTCACAGAGACATCAATTTTGCCCTCTTGTGAATAAATGGCATGACGATATTACGTGGTGGAAAGAGCCTTAGCTGAAGTCATGGGAAACCCGCCTTCTAGTCTGGGCTTTGCTGCTTGCTAGCTTTATGACTCTGGGTGACATACTTACCTAACTTTTTTTAAGGTTTCAGGATCCTCAACTGTAAAACCAGGATAACCTTTGCCCTATCTAGTGTATAGGACTGTTTTGAGGATGGCATAAGAATAATGTATGTAAAAGTGCTTAGCAAATTGTAAAGTGCTGCATAGCATCAGTGTATTATTATTAATTATTATTATGCCATATGTACTTATTAAATGAATTGAAAATCTGAGGGCTTGTTTTATGAGGCTAAGTAGGAAAGAGAGGTAAATTAAAAAAAAATAGAACTCTGCATAAAATGCTTGTGCTGGATATTTTTTATTTGTGCCTCCTGCTCCTTGCTCTTCTGAAAGGCTCTGTGCTCCAGGAGGCTAACCTTTATAGTCAACATTCCCTGGACACCCTTGCTCTCTGGCTTTCCATTGGATTAGCCAGTGGAAGGTACTGGGTGAAAAGCTGCGAATGTGAGGTTGGGATATCACTTTCCTTGCAGCACTACTATTTGGCAGTGGCTGTATTCCTCTAAGGAAGGCTTCTCTTCTGTGGCTACAGCTCTTTCTACCACCTGGTAACTGTTCCTTCCCTTTCCCCTTTAAGTCTGGGGTGGGAGTGGTTTTATTCTTGCTACCTCCAGGGTACTGGACTGTCCCTCCTTGGTTTCCTTTAACATTGCCCACAACCTTCATGAAATTTACCTCAATTACCCCAGGTGAAGGTGCTGACTCTTGCTGCAACCTTAAACAGAGGAACTTCTTTCTCTATATTTCTTTCTACCATTTTAAATTCAATTCAATAAGTTCTTAAAAAAGCAAGTTTTGGTAAATTGAAAAACTTTATGTTAACCTACTGTATAAAGGCATCCAATATTATACTTATACATATTATGAATTATCTTTTAAAATTTACTTTAATTTATATCAAAGAAACATATCTACATTATTTGAATAAAACAGCACTAAAAAGCAAATATTGAAAAACTGCAACACTTTCCCCTCATTCTGCCTTTCTCCCTCTCATTTGCCCTCTTCCCCGGAACTGACAACTTTCAATTCTGATACTTCTGGTGTTTATCTATTTTTAAATAATGTGCTTATCCTGTTTTTTCCAGATACATCAATTTTAGCAGTAGCTCTTTTACACTCCCTACTCCTACCATTTCTGGTCTTCACAGCTTCTAACACAATCACATGATTATGTCACAATTTTTGCTTAAATCAATATGTAATATTTACATTATTGGTAATTTTTTTAACATAACTTTTTGTCTTCCTTGGAATTAACTGATGTGCTTTTAAAAATTCGCTTTCTTAGGCATCTATCTTATAAGATTGATAGTAATAGTGTGGTAGCAGAGGCTGAGCTAACCATTTAACCAATGGTTGAAAGTTGTTATAGGTAAGGAACTTACCAGTGTCACAGCTGATGTGGCACAGACCACCAGCCCTGGTCAGTCACTCCCCTTATGGCCTGCCAACCAATCAAAATATACTTTCCTTTTATAGAAAGAACATGCAAGTCTATAACTTTGAGAAAGTATAAGACGTGTATAAAAGGGAAAGCCCCACTGCAATTGGAGCTCAACCTTTGGCTGTGAATCTGCTGAGCTGGTGCCAGCACCAGTAAACGCTATTTCCTGCTTATTGTCTGGGTGTCCGTCCCTCTGTCCCAGTATCCTGCAAAAATAGCATTTCCATTTTATAGATGTGGAAATTAAAGCTTAAGGCTAACTATTTCGCCCAGAGCCACACAGCTACTAAGTGTTAGAATTGGAATTAGATTCCAGACAATCTGTCTACAAAGCCTGCA